AAAATATTCTTATTTGAATGCAATGTATGATTCCATAAAGCAGAACACTGAGCACACGTCTTTTCTTGGTTCATCATTTGGGCTTAGCTACGTCAAATCATAATAATAGCTAATTTTTATCTCCACCTTCATGGCCGACAAATGTCTCCATAGCAACCAGTGATCCTGTCATTTTCAGTATCTGCTTCCATGCTAATGTTGGTAAAAGACTGAAATAAAACAATTGTAAAGCCACTGTCAGTATCACTGGTAAGGATGTTGGCAGGCTACCAACTTATTAAATAAGACCAAAAATAATATACATAATTATATTTTTTTCCAAAATTGATACATACATGTAGATTACATGTTAGACATGTTAATTTAATTAAGATACAATTCATCACTATTCAGGATTTTTTTTACTTGGTATTCATTCATGGGACCAATGAAATAATACTCACTGACAAGCGAAATATTAAACCAGCAGCCTCCCAGCTGAGAGCTCTGCTGTTAGCAATGTACATTTCAATTACAGAATTGTAGATATCATTAGAAAATGAGTAATTCTAAGAGAGGTCCACCTGAGGTACCTACATTGTATATGTATAATATCAAAGCAATCAGACCACCCTTTTTTTCAACAAGAATTCATAAATATCACTTATCACCAAAATTGACAAAAATATTCATCAAAATTAGAGAATTAAAGATATCAACACGAAATGAAAAAATCTTAAATATATCAACACGAAATGAATAAATCTAAGTAAGGTCTATCCAAAGTATCAAACCATTCCGACTTGTGGTTTTCAAGAAGTAGTCAAAAAATAAATAGTTGAGATGGATGCACTATCAGTAAATATGATTAGCTATACTCGACAAAGTCAACAGCGGAGCTCAAAAAACTAACAGAGAGGATCAAAATCAAACTAGGGAAGCTCAGAAGAGCTATTTTCTCCTCCACTCCACTCCAGTGATACAGGCTCAGAAACTGCTGGTTTGATTTTGTACACCATCCTAAATAGTATTGACAATGCTGAGAAGAAAAGAGAATGATGATATGCAATACCTTTTCACAATTCCACTGAAATACATAATCCGGGGAATCATCAGTAATTGCTGATTTTTTCTAACAGCATGGACAATCTTCTCTGCAACATATTCTGAGGTTAAGCGTGGAAATAACAGAGGAAATCTAGAAAATAGAAATGGCGTATGTATTAGAGATGAACGATGCTGTGAAATATTTTATGCTGAAATTAGAATTAACCACTAATTAACTTTACTACATTAACAGTTTTATCAACAACTACACCATAAGAGTTGAAAGTTAAACCCATTCAACAACTCCATATTGGAAATAAAAGACAAGCAGCCTCTAGGCTGAGATAGCTCTGCTGTTAGCAATGCACATTTCAATTAAAGAACTGAAGATATCATTAGAAAAGAAACAAATCTGAGAGAGGTCTACCTACATGGATATGTATAATATCAAAAACAATCAAAGTGTTCTTTTAAAAGAAGTCGAAAATTAACACTTTTTACCAAAAATGTCAAAAATATTCATTAAAATTAGAGAATTGAAGACATCACCACGAAATGAACAAATATTAGAGAGGTCAACCTGTAGTTCCTATAAAATGTATGTATAATATCAAATCAATCGAACTTGCGGTTCTTAACAGGTCAAGTCAAAAATATCACTTTTTACCATTAGAGAATCAAAAATATCATCTCCACATTAACAAATCTGAGAGTGGCCCACATGCGACAAAGTCAACAGCAGAACTAAAAAGTTGATCTAGCTGAGTACTACCTCCCAATGTATCAGTCGGCAAATTAAAAAAAAAAAAGATTGTTTTTTTTTACTAAAAGTCCACTCACAGTCAGATATTTGGGTCTGGTATTATTTTGAATGGAACATAAAACATAAGCATGCTATCCCTTGTGAAAGAACAAAATAAAAGTGGATTATGACCTTGTGCCTTGACACAAATTTTAACTGTATCTGTACAGTCATAGTATTGTGTTGTTGAAATCTTACCGTGTGTTTACACCTTTAAACATACCAGTTTGGACAATATACGGACAAACAATGGTGCTGTGAATGCCATATCGCCTTTTGGAATGAATTTCTTGAATTAAAGATTCAGCAAACCCAACATTGGCAGCCTGGAATAAAATACAATAAGTTAGGCACCCCCAGGAACCGTGGTAACCAGACGTTGCATTTACTCCAAGCTTGATCATAATTATGTTTTTTTTTTCTATCATATTGGCACGTCTTTGTTATTAAATAATGTAAATACAGTACATGTTGTTGCCATAAGTCCAATTCTGTCTGTGGGCAAAAAATTGATACTCAAGAAGTTGACATGCAGGTATATATTTGGATGTACAAACCTTGGAAGCACTGTATGCTCCAGCACCGGGAAGCGCTTGATTTGCCAAAACTGAACTCATCGTAACAATATGGCCATGATTTCTGTCCATCATAGAGGGAAGAAAAGCTTTACAAGTCTGCAAAAATGAGATAAATTTGAGATTCACTATGAGTATATTTCATCTGAACTGAACTGGTGTGAGGTCTTTTATTTTCCATTCAATACCTACATATATAATATGCAGTTGCAAGCTAGCCTGACAAGGTTGCGTGAGTTGTGCCCTCTGCGGTGCTCCAAACCCAACACATGCCCGATAGAACGATGTAGTTTTTCACTTCCCCCATCGATTTTTTTGTCGGTACCAATCATCTCAATGAAAACAGTCTGTGATTTTTGCTAACAATGCAAACATGGCTTTGTCTCCCTGGTTACGAAAGCGCCACTCATGCCTACATGTCAGGCTAGTTACATGAATATAATTACCCAAATATGGACAAATTCAGTCAGCTGATTAATATGGAAATAAAGTACATGCATATAATTACCCAAATGTGGACAAATCTAGTAGTCACCTGATGAATATGGAAATAAGGTACATGCATATAATTACCCAAATATGGACAAATCCAGTCACCTGATGAATATGGAAATAAGGTAAATGCATATAATTACCCAAATATGGCCAAATCCAGTCAACTGATGAATATGGAAATAAGGTAAATGCATATAATTACCCAAATATGGCCAAATATATTTGTTTGTATTGTTTTCATAATGTCTTCATCTTTGGCTTCAACCAATGATTTATTACTATGCACAACACCGGCATTATTTACTGCAAAAAAAAAAATATTAAATAAATAATTAAATTGAACATTCATCATTTCTCTAAATTTATGGTTTACTTGCATTATTTAAGATAGAGTAACAGCTGTCTAAAACCAAACTCTTGCAGGTCTGAGAAAATTGTTTTGTTTTAGGGCAAGAAAACAAATTGTCATATTACTTGTGATTATGTGTGCCAGTTTGAAATTGCATATGAAACAACTTTTTTAAAGATTTTTTGTCAGTTTGAAAATTAAAGAAAAATAAAATGTTCAAAATTCATTTTCATGAAAAATTTAAATTTAATGACAATTTCACAACAAAACTAAACAAGCAACCTTGCGGTCAGTGGAGCTCTCTCTGAGGGACAGTGTTTGCTGTAATTGACAAGTGCAGAGGGCAGTGGCAGTTACTAGGTGGATAGGAGAAGTGGAATCCATGACAGTTTAGTAATTGTGGCAATGGTCACTGGAAGGACATATCCCTTACAAGGAAACATATTTGTGTATGTAATGCATGGATATGTATAATTGATGATGTGGGTGTACAGGAAATTGAAACTGAAACATGAAGTTGTTGTCACTATTACCAGAATATATACATGTGACTGAATTGGGAATAACAAAGTGACATGTCATTTGAGATAACCCTGACCTGGCCCGTGAGGATTTGGGGGAGGTGAACGTTGGCCCATTCAGTTCATTTTCCAAAACAATGTGTACTAAGAAAGCCTAGCTTCAAACTGATACAGTTGTCTACTGGAGTCCATGCATTATACATAGCCCATATATAACGTATGGGAAAGTGAGAAAAAAACAAAAAAATAATATAAATCTGACAAGAGGTTGTGAACATAAATGACAAAAATATTCCCCAAAAAATAGAGGTTTACATTTGATGTCATGAAATGAACAAATCTGACAGAGAGCCATCGGTGTGGTATAGCGAGGCAATCCAGATGACTAGTTTTAGTAAAGAAGTCGTTTGAAAGAAAACAGTTGACAAACGGTGTATGGCGGGCGGACGATAGGTCATCTTCGATGACAGCGGAGCTAAAAAAACTCATGCATGTGTATCAATTTTGAAAAACAAATTGACATTGACATGTATAAAGGAAGTCTGCTGAGAAAAAAGGTGAATAGCTTAGAAAAGGCTGGTAGCTATTAGAAACAAAAGGCAGTGAATAATAACAATGTAAATACCTAAGATAGTGACTGGTCCAACTTCTGACTCTACCTTTTTTGCTTGTTGGTATACTTCATCTTTTTCACTGACATCACACACATATAAGAACACCTTGGCACCGTATTCTGCCGCAGCATTCGATGTTGATAAAAGTGTTTCTGCAGTACGACCCCATAACACAATCTTAAAAGAAGACAAAAATAGTTAATAATTATCTTTAATTACAAGTATAACTCTCATAAAATGTATTTTACTTAGATATGCATGTTTTTTATATAAAATATTTTTAAATAAATAAATTTCATAAATTTCAATTAGCAATATTAATATTCTCCCTATTAATGTTTTCAAACTTTCAAGAAAATAGAAGTTATTTTTATTATAATGAAGATTATTGTTCCAAAATAATATACTGAGTATGTCAAATCTCTGTGCGACAGGTGCAGGGATGCGTCCAATTGAATACGAGCATGGCTTAAAAGGTGGTGGGTGGTAATTCTCAATTTTGTTAATGCTGCTCTATGTTTTGCATTTGTTACTGTTTTTATTTTATTTTTGTTTTTATTATCATCATGCATTTGTTCTTGACTCTTGTCTTCAGATACTTAATGCAAATTGCGTTAGATTGGTGACATGATGTTATAATTTGGATCATTATTTTCCCATGACTTATCCATTTCCACATAGTGCAATATACTGTAGAATACTTTATTTTCGCTTGGAATTTATTTTCGGTATTTTCGCTGAAGGGATGATTCCGTGAAAATAAAATCCAGCGAATATATTTGTTTTCCTATATTTCACATTATACTCATCAAAAATCTGTGAAAATAAATTCCAAGCAAAATGCCTTTTCAGCGAAAATAAATTCCAGCGAAAATAAAGTATTCCACAGTATTTTTGATACCAGATACCCAATTAAGTATACCTTTACTATCCATCTCTAAGCCAAGTCTGTATGCTTCATGGACTAGCGTGTTTTCATTCTATGTTTTTATTTTTAGCCAATATTTTATCATTTGTTTTATACTAGTCAGAAAAAAAGGTGTCTACCTAATTCTAAAATACATACCAAGTGACTGGCTTTCCAGTTTACCTGTAAAATGTATTTGCAAAATTTGTTATGAAATTTTTCCATAGGTAGCCCACTATCAAAAATATTTTTTATTTGTAGTACGCAGTCACTTGTCCAAATTTCGCTGCAATAGATTAGGATAGGTTTAACCATACTATCAAATAGTTTTAGGTATGTGTTTTCAGAGTATAACAACTGTTTTATTTTGAAGAAAGCTTTCATCGCTCTATGGCTGAGATCTTCTTGAGCTCTGATGAGTTTACCTACCAGTTTACCTACCAGTTGTGTTTAGTTTCAAACCTAGGTAAGAAGAGGATACATTTTCAAGTGATTTTCCATTAATTACAAATTTATGTTCTGTTTTGCCAGATTTATTGAAAATCATGATTTTATATTTTGATACATTTATTTCAAGTTTCTCATAATTATGTTTGCACTGAGTTTATAGCATTTTGAAGTCCGTTTTTTTACTTTGAGAGTAATACTAGATCATCTGCATATAATAAGCAAGAGATGGGACTAGTATAAAATGAGTTTTTGTGTGAAGATATGATCACATGTCAAAGGTCGTCTCATGCAGTTTACTTCCGGTATGCTGGGCTGCAACACATCGTGAAAACTAAAATGGCGTACTAGTCAAGACTTTACTAATTTAGAAGGTAACAACTTTACATAAGATAATCTAAAATTATTATTATTATTTAAAAACACCAACTAAAAATCAATAATCCATGATTTGTCGGTAAACACAACAATGTATTGCACTCACTTTTTTGCAACCCTGTTTTGCGAATTCGATCGCTAATGCTCGACCGATTCCCCTTCCACCGCCGGTTATCAACACAACGTCGTCACTAATGTCCTTGAGTCGTGCTGGCAATATCCATGAAAAAATCGATCGTATTATGGAGTAGAAAACACTAAAAATGACCCAGATGCCTTCCAGAAATAGTGACATCTTCGTGTCCGCCATGTTGGTATGTGTTGCCCGTTGGAAGCGGACGGTTCCATTTCGAACAAGGGGGTGGATTACATTATGTGTTACTTTGTTTTTATTTGTAGATTGCTAAATTACAATGGAAAAGAAAAGGTAAGAACCTTGTTTTTTCCCATTTATTTATTTGGTTATTTTTCAATAATTAAATAACTTAATTTTATTTCCCCCGCCCCATTTTGTTTGGGTTATGGGAACCAATTTTTAGACACAATAGAGCAGCAATAAGTTGGGATGCCCTAGAAGGAAATTGTTATACTGTAAATTTGTTAGTTTCACTTGCATCACTGTTTCGATACTTTGAGTAATTTCACGAACTTGGCAAGAAAACAATGAGTTCTATTGTTATTTCACATATTCATTGGTGAAAATAGCAAAATTTAAAACCAGTGAATAATTTATGCATTTACAGTGTTTAATCAAAGGGAGCCCTGTGGTTTAATATGTAAACCAGAACATAAAGTTTGACAATAATTAATTTCTACTGCTCCCACCAGTATTTATTTGGATTACAATGCCACAACACCACTTGAACCAGACGTACTGAGTTCCATTCAGCTAGCGTTACAAGATGCCTGGGGGAACCCAAGTAGTGCACACTCTGCAGGTAAGTTATGATTTGTCTAACACCGAGAAAACAAAAACAGGATTATGATTTGTGCTAATTATACAACAGAAGTTGGTTAAATTCAATTAGCTTTCTAGTTATGTCAAATGTATTTCCTATTTTCATGTAACAATATTTATTGACTGCTTTTGGCATCCCACTTATTCCTAAAACACTTTGCTTAGTTTATCCAGACTATGATTTGCTTCACAGAAAAAAACAACGTTTAATATTTAATAATTAATGTTTTTGAACTTCAATCATTAAAAAAACATCTACCATATGTGAAATAATTTTTTTTTTAAAACCAAACTATAATTGAGCTTTTGTTGTTGTTTTTTCTTATGTGAATTTTTGTCTGTTGTATTACTTCAATATTTTAGGTCAAAAAGCCAAGTCTATCATCGTGAAATCCAGAGCTTTTATTGCTGAAATGATCAATGCAAGAAGTGATGACATCATCATTACATCTGGAGGAACAGAGGTACCAGAATTCAATTTTAATTTCCAATTAATTTAGCATGCACTTAGAGTTCATTAATTTAACCTTTTCACCACCAGACTTTCTCTGCCAAATTTGGTGGTGGTGAAAAGGTTAATACCCAATGAAGATTCTTTAGATTCTCACAAGTTTTCCTCTTTCAACTCTGAGCGATCATTTTAATAAAGCTTAAAGCAAATCCTCAATTAAGATTGCAGCAGCCATGTGTATTGACATGTTGAGAGACAGTAACTACTGGGAAAGGGTCTTTCCTCATATTTCGTCGGCATCTTGTTTTTAGTCCCCGTTCGGACGAAGTCCGAAAACGGGGACTATTAATTGAGGTTCGTTTCGTCCGTCCGCCCATCCATACGTACGTACGTCCAAGGCTATATCTCAGACACCCATTGACGGATTTCATTCAAACTTTACATGAAGACAATACATAATGTCTTACATATGCGCGTCAAGTTACTTTATGATTGGAGGAAAAATGACCGACTGTAAAATTTGCTATTTCTGATACTTAAACGTGTCCCCAGCAGTTTCTCAGAGATGACTGGGCCGATTTGAATCTAAGTTGGTATGATGATCATACATATTGGGTTGTAGGTGCATGTCATTTTTTTTTTCGTGATTCAAACAAATATAGCTGACTGGCGCCCATCTTGTTTTTCATGGTACCCATGCTACTTTATCTTGAATGCAATGAACGTTTCTGTTTAAATTTTGTACAAAGACAGTATACCAATATATACATGTACATCAACATGAACATTATTTTTGTAATTTGATTCAATATGGCCGGCCAATGCCCAATTTTCATCTCCTATTCATCTCCTATTAATGGTTTTAATCTAATCTCAATGACTTCATCAGCATCAAATTTATATGTCAGATCACAAAAATTTTGAACGGGGACTGTGTCACTTGTTACTTCTGTTTTGCTTTAAAAGTGACTTTTTAATTATTTGTTATGAGCAGATTCTCAAAATAAAAACTATTATTATACATCTGTCACCGTAATGCCATAAGTTACAGTGTGCTGTAATTTTTGCATTATTTTACTGGGTATTTTCATCCTATCATATTAGGAAATGCGAATTCCAAATATGGAATGATTAGGTGCGTAAGCGTCCTCTAATAATAAAAACAAACATGGCTGGCACCAGGGTTTGACCGAACACACAAAGAAGTCACTGATTCTGCTCTAAACATTTTGGATTTCAGCATTCCCATGATGTATCCTTGGAAGGAAAAGATGTATAATAAGAAGGTTATTATGAGGATACCTCAAAGTATGCACTCAGACAGTACATCGTCGCATTGAAATTCGGTGCAGGTCGGTCGATACTCCCACTGTACTGTCTTTGTGCATACTTTAAGGTATCCTCGTAATAACCTCATATTATAAAATTGTTACCAGTAAGTACATCATAAAGTGCTACTGCAGATATTTTGAGGTTTGGGCCGAATTGAAGATTACATGTCATTTCTTCAGGCTGTCATTATTATGAGTATTCCTATTAGAATACAGAATATGAAACAACATATGGGGATCATTGGTCAATTTTGCAAGAAATAAACCTGAAATGTACATTTTCCTATTTTTGAGGTAAAATTCTTTCTTCATATCTTGAAATTTTGCTTGACGACAGGATAAAAACATATTGTATTTATTATTATTGATATGAATCTTAATATTATTAAAACATCTCAAAAATTTGACATTCAAATTAGCAGCTTACCATATATTATTGAGATATTATTTCTTCTATTATGTGAATTCATTCTTCCTTGCACCAACCACAGAACAGGAGGTAGCTTTGTCATTAAGCCATCTTGATCAGAACAAATCGTCAGGCTATGACTGTTTACCGACACGACTTCTTGTAGATGGAGCTGATATCATTTGTAAACCACTTTGTTTTATTTTTAATTTATCATTTTTACAGGGACATTTTCCAAATGCATTAAAAATGGCAAAGGTAACGCCCATCTACAAAAAA